TCCTCAGGGAAAAGCACGAAGTTCTCCAAGCCTTTCTAGGTAAAAGCCTTTGAAGAATGGGTTTGTTTTGCTCCTTCTGTGTGACCTGGAACTTAAAAGCCAAGGGACCCACCTCTGCAAGCCGGAACAGAAGTGGCAGAAACTTTGTGGTTTCTTTTGGAACACTTTGAAGGCACAAGGCTCCTTGCTCCATCCACAGGATTCACAGCCGAGGGATCCATTCAGAAGTGGTTTTAATCTTTCTCCTGGCTGTCTCCTGAAAAACCCTCACAGAGACACGGCTGTGACATTCCATCCCACCCACAGCATCGCCAGAGGTGCCAGGACCTCGTGTTGTTCATGGGAATTGCCTTTCCACGCTTGTCTGCTGCTCCAAGGAGCACATCACATCCTGTGCTCAGGCCATGGACCAGCTCCTCCTGGCTACATTTGCCACCCAGGGAATTCTCACCTGAAGAAAGAGATCACTTGGCAAGTTTTAATTGGGTATCACAGCATCCCTCCCAGGTAGACATTATTATATTATATTGTATTATTATCTCCAATTTGTTACTGGAGACAGTCAAGCCCAAATTGGGGTGGTGACCTGCCCTGTGCTGTAACACAATTCCATGCTGGCTGTGCCAGACACACGGAGACAATCCCAGGTAAGCAGTGTCCTCCAGCTCAGGGAAGTCAAGGGATGAAGCTTTTGGTGTTCTTGGGCACCATGAACTGTTTGGAATCACCCTCTTTCTCTGTATCAGGGGCTTTTGTGCCACAGCAGATGAATTGTTTCCCTTCCCACACTCAGCAAAGGGTTGTACACCTGCTATTGCCACACTGCCCTTCCCAGCAGCCAACTCCAAAACCCCAGAGCACCACGGGCCAGGACAATGTGGTGACAAACAGCTCTACCCCACAGCACCAACAGAAAACCCAGAGCCATAAAAACAGAGGCTGTGCTTGATCAGTCTGCAGCACAGACCCTCCCAGCACTTGGGCAGTAGCTAAAGCCTGGATTGCTTGGAGAGGCATCCCCACAGACTGGAATTGCACACACACACAGGTCATGCCCATGTACCTGATCTCTGGTAAATCATTTAACTTGCTCTGTGCCTCAGCTTTCCCCAGCTGCACTAAGGAGCCGGCTCAAGCCAGGAGTGATTTTATGGCTTTGGTGGCTGGTGCTGTACCAGCACCAGGCTGAGGATTAGTAATGCATGCAGCTCTTTGAGGTCTGCCAGAATAACCTTTTTCCCAAATCAGTTTTCCGTTTCCAATCCAACCCCCCTGAGCTGTGGCTGCCCCACAGTGCTCACCTGCATCCAGGAGCTCAGCAGGTCAAAGTGCTTCACAGGGGCTTTAGTTGGTGAAATCTGCAGCCAAGATCACCTGGATTTGCCGAATTAGAAGTAGCAGGATTAATCTGAATAAACAACCATCCCAAGGGAAAAAAACACTGGGCAGCTAAAGAAGAGAGCAAAAAAATTTAGGGGGACAGAGTGAAGCAACCAAGCCTCAATAAATAATAAGTGCAGATGGCAAAGATGACTGCGAGAGAGAAAGACCTTGCACTTCCCAGAGGCTTTCTGAGCAGTTGCTGGTGGGCTGACATCTCCTTCCCCTTTCTTTGGCTGAATCAGCCCAAACCCAGTTTGTACCCTGCCCTTTATACCTTCCTGGGGTGTGGTGGGGTGACCCAGGTGTGCCCCATCCCTCTCATCAGGCAGGGCCTGAGGGGCACTGGTTTGGGCACCAGTATCCCACCCTTCCCTTGTCAACCTGTGTAAAGTGTGAACGAGCATCTCTGGGATGTGTTTCTGCTGAAAACCCATGGTCAGGGTTCAGGGTTCAGGGGGATGAGCAGGGTGAGAGCCGGTGGGAAAGGTCCTCCCCCACGCCAAAAATGGGTGTCTCTTATGGCTGATCACAGAGAACCTCAGAGGGGGTGACCAGTGCAGTGACACGATGTGACATTTCTATTCCCAGCTGCAAAGCACCCCGTGGGGTTTGGGTCCGTGCCGTGCCCGGCTGCCCCCCTGCCCCGCGGGGCCCCACTCGTGCTTGGGGCCGTTCAGTGCCTCAAACCCCGTCACCAAATCCCTGTCTGGCACCTGTGGGTCGTTTCTCTGCGCCGTGGCCGGGGTGACCCCTCGGCACGAGGCTGTGGGAGCAGCACCGGCGGGGTCAGGAGCCTGCAGCCCCCCGGCCCGGCTGGGAAGGGCGCAGGGGGTCGGCGCCGGGGGCGTGGGGCTGTCGGCCGCGCGCTGAGCCCACGCACCCCTCTCATGCTTCCTTCTTGTCTGCAGGCTGGCTCAGGTGCTCCGATCACCTGCTGCTTGCGGGAACGGGAAAGCAGCAACTGAAGATCGAGGGGGACTTTTGGTTTACTCAGATGACAAGAGACAATTTTGGTTCCCCAAAAGCCAAGGAAACAAAGCTGTCAGGCTTTAATGGTAGCTTGTCTCCCTCCTGCAGCATGTTTATGGGCAAACAAGCTGCAGATCAGACCAGGCAAACAGCAGCAGGTGAGGCCAAATAACAATAATTCATAATTAATGGCGAATGTGGCTTTGTTTATTCTTGTTGTGTTGAGGCAATGCTAATGGATGAAGCTGTTACAGGACTCCGGGGACCGGCTCAGTTCCCAGCGCTGCCGCCTGCTCTGCCCCTCTCTCACCCCTCGTGTGCCCCGTGAGGGCACGAGCTCCCTGTGACAGAGATGCCCTGTCCCACTCTGCACGAGCCCAGAGTGATGGGGCTGTGGCCTCGGCTGAGGCCTCGAGGCAGAAGAGCAGTGCCAATATCCATGCTCAGTGCCAGTGCCTGGCCCCGTTTGCTCGTGGCCTGGAGCGGGGCCGACCCCACTGCACTGGGTCCGGGGCACAGCTTTCCAGGGGATTTGTTTCTCACAGTAGCACCATCCCTAAAAGCTCCAGTCCATGTTTGCCAAGTGTTGTGGTGTCTCCATGCTGCACATCAGCATCACCCGTGCCTCCCCACCGCCTGCTGCTGTGGGGCGACCAGCAAATGCACCAGAGACGCACCCAACCCCTCCCCAGCCCTGTTTTCCATGGGCTCTGGTGTTAACTCGCACTGGTGCCAGATGGGTTTGCCCCTTCCCCAGACGCCGTGTCCCTCGGGTGTGTGGTGAGGCACAATCCCTCTCCCTGCATGGCTCTGCCATCCCTCGGTGTGTGCAGGTCCCTGGCCACGCATGCGGCTCCAACGCGGCCCCCGCGTGATCGCGGGCATGCCCAGAGACACCCGTACAACACGCCTGGCAGAGGGGTCACTTATGCAGAGCCCTTCATATGACACTACAGGCAACACCTTCCCCCCTGGGGGGCTGGCCTGGGGGTGGCCCTTGCTGCAGCAGAACCCCCACACTGGGACTGGGACCTGCAGGGCCTTGGGTATTTGCAAACCACGCTGTGACTTTTGATTCTAAAGGATCCCCTGGAGACTGACCTAACCTGTTCCAGGACCGTGGAAGAAAGCTTTGAAGTCGCTGCTTCCTGGAAATAGTTTTGGTTTCCTATGTCTCATGGGGATGTTCCTGTACTTGTTCTTCCCTGAACATCCCTGAACCAGCCTCAGTCATGGCAAACACCCACTGCAGCTGCTGGTTCCAGCAGGGCACTGGTGCATCCCACCCTTCACTCCCTGACTTTGTCTAAGTTTCGTGTTGGGAGGAAACTCCACGTCCTTCAGTTCATTTCCATTCATCCTTTAGTCTTAAAACATGAGCCATTTTTATGTAAAGTGCTGATTTTTGTTGCCACGCTAAAAGTCATTGAGCTGGATTTACAATGTGCTGATTGTAAGCAACCCCTCACAGGTCCAGTCCCTGCACCCTCCCCTATTAATTCTGGGTTTTCTGTTTCATTTTGGCCATGTGTGTTTCCTCTATAAACCCTGCACCTCACCCTGGCATTCGCTGCTGTGTTACTTGCAGGAACCATCTGACTGTGGAACAGTCATTCCCGAGGAACCACAAAGAATGCCAGGGACAAAATGATCTTTGGATTCCTTCAAAACCTGTATTGTTCCCCAAGTTAAATTGGTTATTAGTTTCAGAACATAAAAGCCAAAGAGATTTGGCACAAGTCTCAGCCACGGTTTTAACCTGTGAGGGTTTATTGCGTCTAAGAACGTTTCTTATGGAATGACAAATGGGAAAACTGAGCCCCTTCATCCCTGTGTGACGCCACGGGCCTGATGCAATGCTGCAGTCACCAGTGCCTAACCTTGTGTTAATTGACTTTTGCCCATTAAGTAAAGGGAAGTCTGTGCTGGATAAATTGGGTTTGATCTTCTCAAGCCTCCTTTAAGGGAGGGATGATGAAAGTTCAGGGCTGCGGCTGGTTGTGGGGCTAATCCCAAAGCTGAAGACAAAGAGACTCTCTCCCCTGGTTCCCAGGGGTGCAGGCTGGAAGCACAGCTCTCAGCCAGCCCAGCAGCTCCTGGGTTTGGGGCAGGGAATGGAGGTGGTGGCTCAGGGGGTTGATCCTGCCCGGTGGGACACAGCGTGTGCCGGGCAGAGCTGGGATGCAGCCGAGATCCTGGGAGGGGATCGGTGCCCCAGACAGGGGGACCAGCCACACTTTGCCCTGCCAGCCACCTCCACAGAGCACCCAGAGGGGGCAGGGAGGGGAGCTGCTCACAGGTCCAGCCAGTGACACTGTGGACAGTCCTCAGCCTTCCAGGAGACCAGCCCAAAAGCTTGGCTTTAATTACAGCCGAGCTGGGAGGTGTGGGAACGCAGGCAAGAGCAGCATCCAGGCTTCTTCCTTTCTGTGACCTTTACTTAGTTTAGTTTCATCACCCCACATCTCTTCTTTCATTGAGGAAAACAGGGAACTAACTGAGACATCCCAGCAGCTGTTCTGCTGTTTGTGGATGGCAGGACGTGGTGTGGGAGGCTGCAGAGCTGCCCAGAGTCACCGCTCAGCGCCCCTGGCCCCGGGCTCTCTCAGCCACAGTCTCCTCTTCTCTCTCCCTTCCTTGTCTCCCAGTGCCCATCCCCTCGAAGGCCAACGGCACCACCATCTCCAGCCTGTCAATGAACAAGGATGGCCTGGTTGGAGGGGTGACGAATCCCAACGAGGTGTTCTGCTCCGTGCCCGGCCGCCTGTCCCTCCTCAGCTCCACCTCCAAGTACAAGGTGACGGTCGGGGAGGTGCAGAGGAGGCTCTCGCCCCCCGAGTGTCTCAACGCCTCTCTCCTCGGCGGGGTCCTCCGCAGGTGAGCTGCCCCAAGAGCCCTGGGATCTGTGTTCAGCACCAGCTCTTACCTCTCAGATAAACAGAGAGGAGAAATTCTGGTGTGCGGTACGTTGGGGAATAGGATTTCTGTTTCTTCTTCTTCTTTCTTCTCAAACCTCAAAGCTTAAACTGGGACCATGGTTATTTTAACATGAATTACATTGAATTCCCCCCCCCTTTGTTTTCTCTTTTCAGAGCCAAATCAAAAAATGGGGGTCGGTGTTTAAGGGAAAGGTTAGAGAAAATTGGATTAAATCTACCTGCAGGAAGGCGCAAAGCTGCCAACGTCACCCTGCTGACATCCCTCGTGGAAGGTAAGAGCTGCTCCCACAGAGGGTGGGAGTGCCAAAACTTCCACTCCCTTCATTTCCAGCTTTCCACAAACCAGAACACCTAAAGTATGGGGCAGTCACCACCAGCTGAGCCTGGGAATGTGCCCTGTGTAAGCCTCTAGGCTGATCCAAGCACACGTCCTTTAAAATGAACAGACCCTTGGGAAGGCAGGGGGCTGAACACAAATTAAACCAGGACAGCAAATGTCCAAGACAATGTCCAAGCACGGTGGCCCTGCCCATGGCAGGGGGTTGGAATTAAGGTCTATTCCAACCCAACCCATTCTATGGTTCTGTGTCTGTTTTCCAAAACTCAGCCATTTCTGTCAGACCAGCCACAGCCCGTGGGAAAGGCACCCCCATGGATGCTGAGTGGGTCTGGCTGGAGCTCAGGGTACCCCTCCTTTCTGTGAGCTGGTGCTAAAAGTTGGGTCACAGAGGCTGAGAACAAAAAAGCTTGAGCAAAGCTGCCAAGACTCCACAGCTGCTCTGCAGCCCCGTGCCCCCACTGCGGACACAACGCTGACCCCTCCATCAGGGCTCCATCCCCACCCCGGGTCTGTGCCTCTTCTCCTCGTCTCCTGTAAGGAGGAAATGCCCCTCATCCAAGTGCTTCCCTCCTCCCTGGCACAGCAGGGGGTGAGTGAGACATCAGGGAGATGCCGAGCAGGTCCCAGGTCTCTCGGGTGGAGCTCAGGTGTGCAGCAGCCGCCCTGCCCTCGGAGCGTGGCGTTAAGGGCCGAGCTACGGAAAATGTGCATCCATCCCCGCCTGGACGTGTGAGGTGCCCCTGCCCAAAGCCACTCGGTTGTTTCCTCCCCTCCTACTTCTTTGCGCCGTGGAAATGATGATGTCTCCGCTGCGCCCTGGGAGGAAAGGACACGGGACACAAACAAATGGAATGACAGCTCCGCCTCCCTCCGAGCTCCGGAATCCATTGTGTCCGTGCCCGGCGCGGGGCAGGCAGCTGCCTGCGGATCCTGAATAGAAAATCATCCCCATTGTCGCCGGCAAATTAAATGACCCGCTTCATTAGGCCGAGGTTGTTACCGAGGGCAGTTGGTTTGTGCTGAATGAAAGGCTGATTTCCATGAAAAGAAAAGAAAGAAGGAAAGAAAGGAGGGAAGGAAAAATGTACAGTTTGAGTTCAGGTGGCTGCTGATGTTTTGGTTCCTGCTTGCCAGCTCATAGTAAATAGGAGTGGTGCCATGTGTGCTTGGTGGATGTAATTTCCTCCTGAACGTGTGATGGTACCAGGGATGTTCCACCCAGAGGAAGGTGCTGCTGCTTTCCCTGACCCCTCACACAGAACTGGCTTGTGCCCCTCTGTCCCAGGCACCCTCTTTCCTGGACATTTGCTGTCTTGGCTTCTTTTCTCCCCTCTGCCTTCCCAATGTCTGACCATTTAAAAGAGCCCCTGAGTTTCTCTTTGAACGCTGATGATATATTTTTTCTTACACTGACCCACTCACACAGATGGGGAGGATGTTTCTGGGGAACCCAGGAAGCACCAGGCAGAAACAGCTCCCTTTGGAGTCCTCACCGAGTACACAGAGCACTCACCTTCTCTTGAGCAACTCCTCCATGAGAGCAGCTCCAGTCTGGACCCAGGGGAGCAGCAGGGCTGTATTTGCACTCCAGAAACACCCCTAAGTTCTCAAAAGAACCCCAGGCAAGCTCCTGTGGCTGCTCTGCCCACCATGGCCCTCGAGTGCTCTCCTGCAGCCTCTCCTCCCCAGGCTCTGACTCAGTGTGGCTTTAACATCTCTTCCCAAAGCCAGGTTGCCCTGTTCCCCCTGATACCTCCCTAATCCAGACTCCAAATTGCCTTTAAGACATTCACATATGCAGCCACTCACACTCATGGAGGAAATAAATCCTGGCTCCAGCCTTGTCTCTCACCACGGGCTCACTCAGCCGTCTTTTATCATCCCAGTAACAGTTTTCCAGCAGTTGTTCCTTTCTGACTGTCTTTTGACACACAAACAACTGCAGTTCTGATTCTGTAGGTTTACCTTATTTGCTCCTTCTTTGGAGGAGGAGCTGAAGTGGGAAGTGCTGTCCTTATGTGGGAAGCACGGGCAGTTCCCCCTAACTGAGCTCCAGGATCCAGGCAGGGCAGGCTGGGATCTGGGTTAATGCTGTTAGGATGGATGGCCTAATACGTGTGAGCAGCAGGGGGGCAAGTCAAATTAGCTCTGCCTGCCTGACCTGGATTTTGGGTGTTGGGCATGATCAATGGCCATCAGCTCTGATTATTTCCACGGGGACGACTGGAGATGGATCAATCCCATCAATGGGTGGGCACTTCCACGGGGTGATGGATACGCTGCCTGCACGTCCAGCCCGAGGGCCCCGGCTCACTGTGGGAGGATGTAACCCCCTTCCTCCTGTCCCTTCCTCACAGCCCTGCTTTGTCCTGTGGTCACAGGGCTGAGGTCGCTCTTTCACCCTCCAGCCCCCATTTCTGCTCGGTTTGGAAAAGCCAAGCAGGAAATCTGGGAAGAAGAAGGGAGAGGAAGATGCAGCAGGGGATGGCCCCAAGTGAGAAACGCCTCTGCTGCTCTTCCTTTCGGAGCAGGTGCCCAGAGTCACACCTCACTCTGCTCCAAAGCCAGCACCTTCCTGATGCTCTTTTAAAAGGCAGTAAAGAAAGGATCCAGCTGCTGTTTAGAGCAGGCAATGGCTCATTTGGCCCACATGGACTAATTGCCTCACAGAGGAGAATGAGAAACTCACAGTGGTTTCTACACCAAGAGCTGAGGTGGGGAGAGCTCTTGGGCGGTCACTGCAAAGGGAAGCAGCCCAGTCCCACCAGAAGTGAACCCCCCCAGTGAGATGGCTGAAGCTGCTGCAGAAGTTTTCCCCTCGCCCAGGGCATGGGCTCAGTGCTGATGTCCCTCTGTCCTGCCCACAGGTGAGGCCATTCACCTGGCTCGGGACTTCGGGTACGTCTGCGAGACCGAGTTCCCGGCCAAGGCGGCGGCAGAGTACCTGTGCCGGCAGCACTCCGACCCCGCCGAGCTGCACACCAGGAAAAACATGCTGCTGGCCACCAAGTGAGTGCAGATGGCAGAGAGCCACCGGCGTGTTCGGTGCCCACAGCCCAGGAGGGCAGTGTTGGCCCCCAGAGCTTCCTCTTCTGAGGGGAAGAGAGGGGCTCACGCTGCAGGAAGATGAGCAGCAAGGTGAAGGGCCTGCAGGGACTGAAGGGCTGGTTCCTCCATGGGAGAGGGTAACACGACCACAGGGGAGCATTTTGGCACTGCCTCATGTGCCCCTTCAAAGCAGGAGCAGTGGCAGTGGCTCCAACTCTGCGCCCAGGAGCTTTGCACAGGCTGGAGCTGAAAAATCCTGGTGGGGAGGAGGTGGCTGTTGATGCAGGGAGGATGAAAAGAACCCCCACACACACCCAGAGAAGTTGTGGCTGCTCCATCCCTGGAAATGTTTAATGCCAGGTTGGATGGAGCTCTGAGCAACCTGGTCTAGTGGAAGGTGTCCACGTCAGAGGGGTTAGAACTGGATGATCTTCAAGGTCCCTTCCAACCCAGACTATCCTGGGATTCTATGATTCTGTGTCCTGCAGCTCTCCATGAGCCACCTAATGACCAAACCCTCTCTCTTTCAGACAAATTTGCAAAGAGTTTGCAGACCTGATAGCCCAGGACCGGTCGCCACTGGGGAACAGCCGCCCCTCGCTGATCCTGGAGCCCGGTGTCCAGAGCTGTTTGACTCATTTCAGCCTCATAACCCACGGCTTTGGGGGCCCGGCCATCTGCGCCGCCCTCACCGCCTTCCAGAACTACCTGGTGGAGTCCCTCAAGGGGCTGGATAAAATATTCATGAACAGCACGGGGAACGGGCACAGCGGGGACTCCAAAGCGTCAGACAAGGAGGTGAAGCATCGGAAATAACGCGCTGCCTCCCCCCGCTGGGAGCTCCCCCCGGGCACCGGCGGTGGCACCGGGACGGGGCGGGCAGAGACGAGACCCCAGTGCACTGTTTTCTGAACTGCTGCGTTTGAACGTGGGAGGAAACTCGTGAAGCAAAGAGAGAAAACACAAAAAAAAAAAGAAAAATAAAAAAAAAGAGGATTTAAAGAATTTAAGAAGAAAACAGCTCTAATGGACGTAGTGAGATTGAGGGAAGCCAGGCTGATGGCTTTGGGGTTTTGCCTTTTTTTTTTTTTTTTTTTTTTTAAATCGTGGATGGAGGAAGCCAAGTCATGTGCAATTTGAGTTTGTTTTGTTTGTGTTTTTTTTTAAAAAAAAACCCGTAGTGAAATCCTGAAGTGCTCCAGGAATTTGCTTCAGCTGAAAAACTGAGAGGAAAGAGGAGAAGCCTCGTCAGTGCCAGACCCAGAGCAGGAGCTGCCAAGGGCAGGGGATGGAGCGCTGGCTGCACCCGGATTTATCCACTGGTTTTGAGGCAAACACACAGGAAACCTTCCCCCTTCCCCACCTACAGCCCATCCCTAATGCCAGGCCAAGGAAAATTGCCAGAAGAACTGCTTTGGATTTAAAGCAGGTTCAGACTCCGTTTACAGCTTCAAACTGAGACTCACTGTGGATTTTCCCATGGGCTGAGGAGCCCCAAGCCTTGGCACGAGGGAGGAACAACCACCCAGCCAACAGGTCCCAAGGAGAGCCCTCCCAACTGCTGCCCTCACGGCTGGGGACAAGGCAGGTGAAGTTAAACCCAGGACTAATTAAACCTCCACAACCTGCAGATAGCAGCACACAAGTTTCTAAAACAAACAATAATAGTTAATAAAGCACAAGGAGCAGAACTTGAACCAGGCCAAACTGAACTGTTCTAAATCTGTATATATTTATTTATGTGTAATTAAAATCTGAAAGTTTTAAAATGTCCAGTGCAAGTTATTTATATCAAACTGAGTTGGTTTTTTTTGTTTTGCCTTTTTTGTTGGTTTGTTTGTTTTGGGTTGCTTTTTTGTTTTGTTTTGTTCGGGTTTTTTTTTTTTGAAAGATGAAAATCTTTGGATTTTCTGCCATTAGAAATGGGAATGAAGTTCTGGATCCACCAAACTGTAGCATGGACAGGCTAGGCTGTGATGATGATAACTCTAGAAGTTCTGCAGGATTTTGTACTTGCTGTTGTTTCTCTTAATGCTGCAATAGATGTACGACACCCACACCACAATGTCATTCTCATTCTCTCAATAAACCTCTTTTTATTTGAAGAAAGCACCTCCATCGTCTTTGTGAGAAGGATCCTCGGCCTCTGTGGTTGCATCTTGAAACAGATTATGTGGATTAATTATATAGGAATGATATAGATTTAAGAAAGAACCCTCCAGTTTCATGGCTGGGGTTTGCCTGACACCCCAAAGGGAGCTCAGGGAGTGACAGGAGCTGGAGTTCATGTCCCAAAGTCCCCAGCCCTGGTGCTGAGCCAGCCGGCGCCGCTGCAGATGAACAGTGAGATGATGTGTCTGCTGATGTTTCAGAACCACTCAGGCTAGTCAAATCTAAACCTGTCTGTGAAGACCTGCAGAAGGACCTCATGGTATCAGTGATACATTAGAAGATAAAGGAACCCCACTAATCTGCAGGCAATGAAGCTCCAGGTCAGCTGCTGTTCCAGCCACCTCGTGCTCCCAGAGCTCGGAAATAAATCCGATGGGAATGGTTAGGAAAGGATTGACAGAGCAGAGAACAGACCCTGCTGCAGGACATCTGAGTGTGCCCAGGGCCACTCTGTCCTGAGTCCAGCTGGTAAATCCAGGGGGATCTCAGGTGGGAACAGCTGCCATGGGAGGCAGGACCAAGGGTTAGAGCTGCAGGAGGAAGCACAGTGTGTGACAGAGGTGTGGAAAACTGCCGGATAAAGGAACACAAACAGGGAAAGATGACACCAAAACGAGAGGCAGGACCCCATGGAATGGTCAGGAAGCAGCTCTGAACAAGTGAGTCTTACCTGTCTCAGGTAAGAAGCTGCAATGTTCTGTGGAAGGAGGTGTAAAACTGGCTTTTGACACAACGGAAGAGGGTGATTTTAGGGAGTCTTCCCTACACGTCCATGGCTCCTCACAGCCAGAGGCTGGACAGCTGGAATGGGACCGAGCCAGGGCAGCACTCCCTATATTGGACCCTTCTCAGAGTGGTACCTGTTGAGTTTCTCTGGAGATGCACAACAGGCTGATGGTAACAGAGGAAAACCCCAAACTGTCCCAAAAGGGCCCACGGGAGGTTTGAAACAAACCTCCTTCCTTTCAGAAAAGTGTGAAAGGAAACATTTCATGTCCTAATGTAATTTGTGGGGATGGCTCAGCATCAGAAACTTGCATTTAAATATTCCCTTCAAAGCTTAGGGAGGTATTTAAATTGGGAATTGGATTGGTATGAGGTTTGTGAAAGCAAAGACCTAAATGACGGGCTCTGCAGGTCTGGGTTTGCTCTGGACCTTCCCAAAGGAAGAGCCAAGGAACAGGGAGGAGCCAGGGAGCAGAATGGAAAAACTACAGACACATCAGAGGCTTGTTTACACTTCAAAGCCAGTTTGGATAATTCAGGGTGTGAGCCAAAAGCACAAAAAACTATTCCTATTTAAAATTATTCCAAAGTAGGAGCGCCCTGTTCTGCATCAGCATAATCCACATTTAAATGGATTATGATAAAGGGGAGTAAGGTGCTTTTGTGCTACAATACAGGTTTCCCTACATGGGGTTATTTAGGATAACTATCCTGAAATAATTCCATTTGCAGACATCCTCTGGAGCACAGTATCAGAGCCGAGCAAGCGACGCCCCGACACAGGATGAAAGTGTTTGTGTGCACACTGTAATACACAGGCGTGAAATATCATTTCCTAATTTAATCACATTATGCAAACCTGGCTTGGTTGGGGCACTTTGAATATCAAGGAATTCTTAGACACAGCAGTGATGAGCAACACAGAGAATCAGGATCTGTCTCCAGTAATTACACACCACATCCATGGGGTGGAAAATACCTCCCTCCTCGTTTTCCTCCTCGGGTACCTGCAAGTCTCTGGAATGTTTTATGAGGAACAGTCTGGTGCCCGACAGGCCAGGATGCCTCCAATGACCTGTGAGTGGGAGGAAGTTGGATGATCTGGATTCACTTGTTGATTCCACCACAGACGCTCAAGACCAGCAATGGACACGTCACGTAGGATCGACTTTCTAAAAGCACTGAAACTTCCCAAAATTTTGGACACACTTCATTCCTGCAGGCCCACAGAGACACCCCAGAAGAGTCAGGGGTCGTGCCAGGCCAATTCTTGTCCCTACTGGAGTTCCCTCCCACCTCACTGTCAAACGAGGCCATTCCCTGACGTGTCCTCTGCCCTTCCATCCAAACAGAAAAAAGGGAATTTTACACAATTCTGGGCTCAACCCTGGTATGAATTCCCACACTGATTACAAATCTCATCGTGGGAAAATACGTAATATCGTGTCAAAGAGTAAAAATAGATCCAGGCTCATGGTTTCTACGCCTGTTATAGAACAGGCTGGAATTTCAATCCTAAAGGGAAATTGAAACAAAAAAAGATCTTTTTTGAGTTAATTTTGAATGAGTGACAAATCCAGAGAAACCACATGCCAAGCCCTGACAAGTGAAAAAGAAAAGGAACATTATCAAAAACTCCTCAGTCTCTGGAGTCAGTTGTCCCAAGGGCAAACTGGAGGGAACAAGGAGCTGTGGCTGTGCTGCATCATTAACGCCAGAGAGCAGAGGCTGTGCTGGAATTCCACATGGCTTTGGACACACTAAATAATTACCTCTAAGCAGGCACCTTAAAAGCAACGGGGTAATAACAGCTCTTGGTGTGAAACAACCCAATAAGCAGAGTTTGCTGACCTGTAGTTAATGCATTCCTTCATACAGGAGAGTCCATTAAATTCCCAGCTTTACACGCAGAATCCAGGGAGCCACAGGGCCTGTGAGCAAGGGAAGTTTTTCCTGTTAGTGCAACTGAATCAAAACACCAAACCTGGAAACGTTTTCAAACGAGGCAGTAATATAAATGTTATTTGTGAGGGTGACACAATGATCCCAAGATTATTGGTTCAGACCTCGTGTTCCCTGTCCAGGCTGCACATGGAGCATGTGGAGCCTTCATTATCCCAGCAGAGCTGGCAGAGAGGCTCTGAACCCGGCCATCACCTGGCATCTGGCCATGCTGAGCCAGAGGGTACCATTTTGGTCTTCCTGCCTCACCTTTATATGGTGAAGAATTCCCACTGCAGCCACCTGAGCATCGCCCCATTTCCAACAGGACACCACAAATAGCAATAATCATTCCAGACACCGAATATCCACCCAAGCTTTGTCCCCGTGACCGTGGTGCTGAACCACCCCAGAACCTTTCCAAGGCAGGAAAAATTATGGCAGTGCTATTCTGGGTGACTCCTTTGCATGGCTTTATCCTGACACCTTCAGATGCTTCTCAGTTGGTTATTTTGCAGCAAAGGAAAGGCTGAAACGACACCCTGAAATCCAGAAGGATTTCCCATCAGGAAGAATATTATTTTATTTCCAATGATAAAAAGTTCTCTCCTTTAAGAATCCCTGTTCCACTTCACTGCCTGCTGGTTCCAAGTGGAAGCAAAGGGAGAAAGACATTCCAGCAGGGAGGCAGGACACATGGGATGCAGGTGCTACTGAGGAGGAGGAGGAGGCTGCTGGAAAGGCCAGTTTGCTCAGTTTGGACCATGAAAACAGCCTTTCTTACACCCTCTTGGCAATGTGCTTCTGTTTTGCCTCTTAAATGGACCCTGGCACCACAAGGAATTGCTTCAGCCCAGGCCTCCCACTCCTGACCTATTTTCATTTCATTTCCTTCCCCAGCCCTGTCATATGGCAGCAGCACATTATATATTACATATTATGGCTTTTGGAGTTTCCTGCTAATTTGGTCATCACAGGGAGCCTCCAGGAGCACTCAGTAATCACCACACAGGATCAGACCAGTCTCGTAGCACAGATAACTCTGACTGGGTCCTGTTCAGGCTCTCTCTGTGAGGAAGGCAGGGTTTGGCACAGCTCTCCAGGGCCAAAATGGGAACAGGCACATCCACAGCCCCACAAAGGACAGGCAGCCCCTCACCCCCCGTCAGGGCACAGCCACGTGTGCACTGGGCAAAGAGGGGGGTCCCAGACAAAGTGTGAGGGTCCAGCTCTCCCCAGGAAAGTGAGCAAGGCA